GGGGCTGGATGCCCAATCCTGGCCCTTGAAGCAAAAGCGTAACCTGCATGACTGGGGTCAGCTGCAAACAGCTGGAGATCAAGGTGCAGGAATGGGCATGGGGCAGTACTGGGGTCCTGGAAGTGACCCCCCGTTTCCCTTCTCTTCTCTTAAATGGGACCTCTCTGGACTCGGCATTCCTACTTTCCCCACCCCTGGCAGGCACAGGGCAGACCAGAGACCCTGGTGCCCAGGCTTCTCCACAAAGAAGAACCAGGCTTGGCTTCAGTAAAGAAAGAGCTAAAAGAAATCTGGGGGTCCCCTGGACCCTTCTGGAGAACTGTTATGCCAGGTTGTGGTTGCTGATTTATTGGCTCATGGGGGGGTCTTATGATCCCCTCACTGTTTTGTATGAGACAGGTGTGAGATCTCCCACACTGCCTACCGCTTCCTCCATTTGGAGGGAAGAAGATTGGGGCTGATGTTCAATCCCCCTTGCTGACTTCACGCATCCGCTTGCACAGCCCGGCAGAAGCCGACTGGACACCAGAGGGCGCTGCAGCACCAGCTCATTCGGGAAGGCTCCGTCCACCAAGGGCTCCAGGCCCCAGAGCAATCCAAGAGTTCTGAGCGCCGGGCTCCCATATCCAACGAACTCAGAGAGGGAAGCGATCCAGAAATGGGAACTTCATGTTTTTTGCTCGGTCGCAGTTGCCGCTGATGGTTCACCAGATTTTCTGGAGGAAAGGAAACAAAAAGTTTTACTAAGATTTTAAAACTGGTTGTGATTTCAGACAAGTTCAAAAATTGGAAAAAAAAAAAAAATTCCTGCGTACCTTGAAAACGAGAAAATGAGGTAGCAATCACCGGGAAAAATCCCGTGGGGACCCGCGCAGATGGCCATTTGCAGGTTTCACTGCGGCAGGAATTTGTGTAGGCGTCAGGAAAATTCCAAGAGTCCAGGAAATAACCACAGACACAATCTGACTGGACTTCAGGCTGTTTCCCCACCTGGGGGGAAGCTCAAGTGATAAGTGTTACCACGTATTGAGCTGTTACTATTCCCATTAGCTAAGTAGGCTAAAAAAAATTTTTTTTAATTTTTTTTTTCAACGTTTATTTATTTTTGGGACAGAGAGAGACAGAGCATGAACGGGGGAGGGGCAGAGAGAGAGGGAGACACAGAATCGGAAACAGGCTCCAGGCTCTGAGCCATCAGCCCAGAGCCCGACGCGGGGCTCGAACTCCCGGACCGCGAGATCGTGACCTGGCTGAAGTCAGACACTTAACCGACTGCGCCACCCAGGCGCCCCTAAAAATTTTTTTTACATGGATTATCTCTTTTTATCTTCACAGCAGATAAAGACGATCTTACTGGTAAAGAAACTTGGCTCAGAAAAACTGAGTGGAGCAGAACCAGCTGGTGAGCGGTGGCCCAGGATGCAAGCCCAGGTTTTTGTGGAGGTGTTGAGGCACACACCTGTGACCCGCGTGTGCACAGCTTCATGCATCAGGTCTCACCCCCTGTCCTTGCCGTCTCACCTCTCAGCCGTGTCCCCCAGCAGGTGCCCTGGGCACCAGTCTGGGCTATATATAACCCCCGAAGGACAGTGGGGATCACAAATCAGCACAGGTGGTCAGCTGAGAACCCACTGGGGGGCTCACGGGGCCCTGGGTGGGGACGTTTACAAGCAGATGAAATATTTCTGTGCAGACACCAAATAAAACAAGTTTTCCAGGACAGTCTAATTTCAGATACTCTGTGACATCCGCTGTCCGATGATGCATGCATGATGGGTCAAATGATGTGCCCTGATGTTCAGTCTGCAAATTATGAAACCGGGTGTTTTCGGAAGAACGGAGACTCTAGAAAGAGGAGCCTCAAGTAGAATCCAGGTTTGGCAGTGGCCGCATTTTATGAGAAAATGAATGAAAAGGCTATTGCAATCCGAAAGCGCTGTGTGAAAGAAAGAGACGATTTTACGTGATCCTGTTCAGGACGACCTTCCTCTCCTCTCTCTCTTGTAGGAACACCTCCTCCCTTCCCAGGGAGAGACATCACGCGCACTGCAAACAAGCACGAGTTAGAAGTGGATTCAGATCTCTGCTCTGCTGCTTCTTAGTTGTATAGCCCTGAACGAGTGGTTTCACTTCTCTGAGACTCAGTTTCTTCATATCTTAAGTGGGAATAATAATCATACCTCACAGAGCAGATGATACTCTTGACTGCACATGTCATGAAAGTCAGGCCCTTTCCCCCCCTGCTTTATATAGTTCAGCTCCTCGCATCTTTCTGACGACTTCTATTAGCCTCCAACCTATCACAGAGCAGGGAGCAACCCAGAGGGGTCGAGCAGCTTGCCCAAGGACATACCACCACCGCTGAGGCACAGAGTTCGAGCTCAAACTCAGGCTTATCAGACCCTAGGGCACAGAATTTAGCCACCAACCGATTGGTCACAGAAGGCGCCAGGGATTAAATCTGAGCCGGGAATGTGACACGTTGGCGTTGGCACATGTAGCAATGAGACCTGTGACGATTTAAGCGACATCTTAGGTCCTCACCAATAATCTAATGGCACAGGATGAATTTTGTTAGAGAGCAGAGGAGGCAGAGACAGAGAACCTTCTGGTGTTCTTTTTCTTCTTTCTTTCTCTTTGTGCAGGACCTTATATTTTCCAAGATACTTTACATACACAATCTCTTTTAATCCCGATGCTAATCCAGTGAGGTACACAAGGCAGATGTCATTATCTTCACTTCACTGAGGATTAAATGGGCTTTGGTAGCTACATGCCTGGCCGAAGACCCCCCCTCCATCCCCCCGGTAACCAGGGTGCACTTAAAATGTCACAGGGTTGCCACAGGATTAAAAGAGAGAGTTCATGAGCACATCATGCCTGGCACGTCAGGTGGCACACAGCAAGTGCCCAATAAATGCCTACAGGACCTGAAAGAGTTTGAAAAGGCTTCCTGGACCATTCTCATTCACACGGATCTGCCACTACGCGGCCCGAGGGCGGTTCTCAACTAGGGTGCAGAGAGAAAGTTTTGGACAACACGGACCGTTTGGTGAACAGCTTGGGGCCGTGTTATGAGCTCTGTTGGAGCCGGTGCACAGGGCTGCCCGGTCTCTTCAGGGAATCGTAGAGCTGGGAATAATCTAGAGAAAATCTGGTCCAGCATTTTCCACGTATGGTCCACCAGTCATCGCGGGCCACTCCGCAATGCTCTTGACTTACAGTTTACTCTAAATCAACTCACTTTTTACCTCCGATGAATGCCTTTCAATATATATTCATCAAATCATGAATTTGATTTGCTGGGTGTAGATTTTTCTAATACATGCGTCTGTTCTATTTCATGTATTTCTAACCAACAACCAGAACTTGTGAATAGAAAGTTAAAGTGCTTGTCAGATCACAGTATCGTACAACTGAAACTAATAGAAAATTGTGCATCAACTGCACTTCAGTTAAAAAAAGAAATTGAGGGGCCCCTGGGAGGCTCCGCTGGTGGAGCGTCCGACTTCATTTCAGGTCATGATGTCGCGGTTTGTGGGTTCGAGCCCCACCTCGGGCTCTGTGCTGACAGCTCGGAGCCTGGAGCCTGCTTCGGATTCTGTGTCTCCCTCTGTCTCTGCCCTTCCCTGCTTGCGCTCTGTCTCTCTCTCTCTCTCTCTCTCAAAAATAAATAAACATCAAAAAAAATTTCTTTTAGTCAAAAGTGTCCATGCTCCACACTTCTGGAAATTCTGTCGAATGTCTTCCTAGTCTAAAAGAGAAACCTCAGCACCAAAGAACGCATGACACAGATATTTAGTGGCACAGGGAGGCTTAGACTCAAGTTTCATCCCTTAGAAACCAGGGCTCTTTGCCACTAAGTGTTCCCTTTTTGCCCTTGTGATCTGCAACATTGGCAAGCAAGCCTTGTGAAGGACCGAAGTGCCTGAACGTGGGGGATACACATTCCCACAAGGCTTCTCAGTGGGTACCCCAGGCAGGGGAACTGTGGATGGCTTAGGCTTGTTCTTTGTGGGCTATCTTCTCACTGGGTGTGGGTTCCTTCCATAATTTCATTTGCTCTGTAAAAAAGAAGGTAGAGTTATTTTTATATTTTTTATAATGTGTATGCTTCAAACATCTAGAAAGATGCGCATCGCCCCTTAAATTTTTTTTTAAATGCTTATTTATTTTTGAGAGAGACAGACAGGATACAAGCAGAGGAGGGGCAGAAGGAGAGAGAGAGGCACAGAATCCGTAGCAGGCTCCAGGCTCCGAGCTGTCAGCACAGAGCCCGACGCGGGGCTCGAACCCCCGAACCTTGAGATCATGGCCTGAACCGAAGTCGGACCCTTAACCGACTGAGCCACCCAGGGGTCCCTCATTGCCCCTAACATTAAGGGAAAAAAATCGTGTTTCCTGTTCATCAAGTGCTTCCTCTCTGATAGTAATGCCCGTCAGTTGGCTGAGCATATGCTTGGGGCCGGGCACCGGCTTAAGGATTCGTCCAAATTATTTCCTTCTCACAATCCTGGAAGAAAGATATTATTGTCTGTGCCTTCCAGCAGCACCAGGAAGGGGTAGAAGTGGGATCTGAGCTCAAGGATTACCCTCCTCCCCTGATTTCTTGTCGCAGACAGGACGACGGCTGTGATTAGCCCCCGCAGAGGGCTATATCCTCTGAGCCCAGCACCGAGGTGGGTGAGATGATGTTGGTTCCCATTATCCAAGTGCAGAAGCCGACGGGCAAAGAGTGCCCACGATTTGCCAATAAAATCACACAGCCGAGGCCAAGGACCGAGGCATTTCCGCCCCCAATTCTTTCTAATGACTGAGAGCGTGACCTGCGCTCGGCCGGGCACATTTGTATCTAAAGATGGAACAAAGCAGCAATAGCTAAGCACGCCCAGCGCAGACGGTGCCTGTCCGGGCGAGGGTGGCCTTGTTGAAGGAAATACCTGTCCGCCAGCCTCCCTGCAAAGGGCGACATCAGAGCGGCCCGTCATCTGATAGTTAACTGCTCTTCCCACTGCCCCGTCAGGTGGAAGTCAAAACATAGTTAAAGTTTCGTGGACTTCATCTATGTAATAATAAAAATAATAATGGCTCAATTAATAGCAATCCTAGGCACTTTTATGGACGCTTTCATCTGAGAATCAAAGTGGTTTGGAAAAGAGGCCATCATTAGGCTGATTTTACAGATGAGGAGAATCGGCATAAAGAAGTTAAATGACTTGCCCAAGGTCAGGGCCTGAGTCAGCACCGGAGCCACGGGGAGAACGCCAGGCTCCGTCGGGGCTCTTGCCTCCTCCCTGCTTCCCTCCCCCTCTCTTTGTGCCTGGTGCTTTGGTAGGATCCTTCATCCGAGAATCTGAAATTAATCTCCCAACAATTATCATCATTCATCAGAGGCCAACAACAACAGCAAAACCTCGACCTGGCTTGCCAAGCAGGGGCGCCTCGATCCTGTGCTGCCTCTCCTGGACCTGCAGGGAGGGGACGGCACCGAGCACCCTCCGGTCCAGGCTCAGGGTACTGGGTCCCGCCACTCAGAGGGGCTGGGGCCCCGCACTGCCAGGAGAGCGGAGTGGAAAAGGCAGCGGGCCCAGTATTTAAAACTATTTCCCATATAATAATTCTGAAAGCCGTCTTGGTGATGCCGGCGTCGAGTGTCTGTTTCTCTGTTTATGCCAACTGACATAAATCCAGAGATTATGGCGTGGGAGAAAAAAAAAAAATAGATTTTGGAGTCAGATACCTGCATCGTGAGTTTGTTATTTATTAGCTGTGTGCCCTTAGACAAATTGCTTGACCTCTCTGAACGTCAGCGTCTTCATCCACAAAATCAGTATGGCTGTATCTTAGGGGTCTTGGATTCCTACAAAATCAGCTACATGTGCTCTGTCTCTTTCTTTAATGGAAAACACTGTAAAATGATATTTTGCATATTTTAACGTACTATACTTAGCTGTATATATTATATATGTACATCCCCAATGTACATATATATTATCCCAAACCAGAGGTACCAAAATTTATGGGTGATTTTTTTTTTTTTTTTAGCTTTTAAAGGCTTTTCAAGAAAATTTTATTTTTTTTTAATTTTTTTTTTTTTAATTTACTTTTGAAGGAGAGAGAGAGAGAGACAGAGCATGAGCGGGGGGAGGAGCAGAGAGAGAGGGAGACACAGAACTCGAAGCAGGCTCCAGGCTCTAAGCTGTCAGTACAGAGCCTGATGCGGGGCTCGAACTCACAAGCTATGAGATCATGATCGAGCTGAAGTCAGACGCTTAACAGACTGAGCCACCCAGGCACCCCAAGAATATTTTAAACAACATTCAATTTTTACCTCATACTCTGATTAAGAGCTATAATGTCCTTCCGCCATAAAGGCCATTTGTGATTCTTGGGAGGTTCAAAAGAATGTTCGTGAGCTAATGGACACTCTTTCATTGGGAGCAATATTTCTTAGGCACAGTCTAACAAAACTAAAACAGCTAAAAAATAAAATAAAGTAAGATAAAATAAAATTAAGGTAAAATAAATAAAGTAAGATAAAATAAAACAAAGGTAAAATAAAATAAAATCAGACACACTAAAGTAAGATACAATAAAATAAGGTAAGGGGTGCCTGGGTGGCTCAGGTGGTTAAGCAACCGGCTCTGGCTCAGGTCATGATCTCACGGTTTGTGGTTCCAGCCCCGCATCGGGCTCTGTGCTGACAGCTCGGAGCCTGGAGCCTGCTTTGGATTCTGTGTCTCCCCCTCTCTCTGCCCCTCCCCTGCTCACACTCTGTGTCTGTCTCTTAATAATAAATAAACATTAAAAAAAATTAATAAAAAAATAAAATAAGGTAAGATAAAATAAAGTGAGATAAAATAAAATAAGGTAAGATAAAATAAAATAAAAGTGAGATAAAATAAAATACGGTAAGATAAAATAGAATAAAGATAAAATAAAATACAGTGAGATAAAATAAGGTAAGATAAAATAGAATAAAGATAAAATAAAATAAAATAAAATAAAGTAAGATAAAATAAAATAAGGTAAGATAAAATAAAGATACACTAAAATAAAATATCTTGCCTATAAGTAGGGAAAAAGAGCTGAAAGAATAAAGAGGTAGCAGAAGGCATAGAAAAGCCTCCCCGTGGGGTTCCTGGGTGGCTCAGTCGGTTGAGCATCCGACTTCGGCTCAGGTCACAATCTCGCGGTCCGTGAGTTCGAGCCCCGCATCGGGGTCTCTGCTGACCGCTCAGAGCCTGGAGCCTGCTTCCGATTCTGTGCCTCCCTCTCTCTCTGCCCCTCCCCCGTTCATGCTCTGTCTCTCTCTGTCTCAAAAATAAATAAACGTTTAAAAAAATTGAAAAAAAAAAAAAAGAAAGAAAAGCCTCCCCGAGCAGCCATGGCCAGCAGAGATGGTGTAGGGCAGCCCAGACAGCCCAGCTCGACCCCACCAGTGCACTGGAAGATACTGGGGGGAATCTCGCCCCCACAGATCTTCGCCCCACCAGGGGGAAGTAGGTCGGAGTCACGACAGGACTTGTCCAAGTTCACAGAGCCAGTAAGCGGCTCACAGGGATTTGAGCTGCAGCCCGTCTGCCCCCCAGGCCTGGGTTCTCCGACAGGGCACTCTGAGGCCTCCTTCATCTGAGAGTGCATTTTTCACAGATCGGAAGGTAAGGAGCATTTCCTGTTACAGCCCTCGGGGTCCCCGCAGGAAACAGCTGGTACCCTCATCTGAGGGTCAATCGGAATCAAAGGTGTGGGCAGGGTGAAGTGCAGTACCTGGGGTGGCTAGTGCCCTAGACCCAAAAGGATAAGGGGAGGCAGAAGTTCCTGGAACCTGGGAATAGAGTTATGTGGAAAGGGCCCCCTTCTGCAAAATGGGGCAGGAGTATGGAGGATCGATGCTGTAACCTCCAGCCAGGCTCCCCATGACGAAATCATACCACAAGGCAAAGGGCAAGGGAGCGTGTGTTCCGCGTCAGCCTGCTGGGGCAAAGAGCAGAAGAGAGAGGTGTAGACAGTGATGTGGGGCGGGGCGATGGAGGGGCCGGTCCTCCTTCAGTTCAGTTATGAACAGTCCCCAGGGTAAGATTGCCTCCCTTCCCGGAGTCGAGTGGTCAAGGCCCTGCTGGTCGGCCCTAACCTTGACTCAGAGCCCCCCCAAGAGGTCCTGTCAGGAGACGGGAAAGCAGCCTTGAGGGCTGGGTAGAGAAGGACATCCCGTCCATTTAACAATGAAAAAGTGGAAGTCCAAAGAGACTAAGCAATGAGCTCAAACACTACAGGGGACATTGCCAGAAAGAAGATGGTGCATTAATTGCTCATTCTGGCCTGTAGCTGGCATCTTATTCATTCATTCATTCATTCATTCATTCATCCATCCAGCAATTATCTCTGATTATCTGTAGCGTGGCTACTGAATTCCAGACATCCTATTTGACCGCAAGCAAGTCAGGGACAATGATATTTAATCGCCCTCCTATGGCTCATTTATAAATCGCTGTAATCACTGACATTTATTTAGTGCTTACTGTCTGCCAAGGACTGAAAGAACTCGCCTTACGCCCGGCATCATCTCATTTCATCCTCGCCGTAACTCTCGGAGGGAGGCACAATTGTTATCGGCTCCTTTTTACAAACAGGACGTTGAGACCCAGAGAGATGAAACAGCTTGTCCACAGTCAACCAGCTGGTAAGGGATGGAGCTGAGCTCAGAACCCAGATCTTTCTGACTCCAGAAGCTAGTGTTTCACCCCCCCCCTCCCCCTCCCCCACCCCCTCCCCACCAGCCTCCATACATGGCTGGGTGGGTGGGCCTTCCTCGTCTGTCCCTTTACGCCCAATGCAATACCGTGACATGGGGTGACTGCCCCCAGGATGGGGACTGGAGCTCTCTGCCTACAGAGGGTCCCTTTTTCCTTTCCACCCGGCCACGTCTGCAGGAAACCTGCAAACAAAAAGCTCAGGGCAGTAAGCAACCAACATTGTACCTTTCCTCCACTCCTCCTGGCCCACCACAGCAACGGAGCACAAAAGGCAACCCCGCAATGCCAGGAAAATGCCTGACCAAAGACGCCTGTCTCCAAATGCAGCCCATGGCAACCCCACTGAAGGCAGAGAAAACACTTTCAATAATATCACCTTTTATCTTCGCTTTGTGGGCCAAAGGAATAGAACACAGTTGCCAAACACAAATTAATGTATAATTATTTTCCTTGCCTGAATCATTTGCTTTCATGTGTCAGAGCATGCTGAGCAAATAGCACCACACCTTGGGCTTTAATTGTGGTAATCAGGGCTCTGAGCCACAAGAAAGGCTTTTCTAATGCCTCCTTTAGCACTGACTTTCAAGTCGAAGCAACTGATTTTTTCCTCCTCCTCGTCTCTTCTTTTTAAGGAAAAAAAGACATATACTGGGGGAGGTCTCAAGGCTGCTGGGAACAATATCACGCCCGCTTGGCCACAGGAAAGTGCCCACCCTCCCCGGGGAAGAAACACAACCACCTTTGACAGGTGACTGTCGTGCTAATGACTGTTCTATTCTCTTATTCATTTGGTGACTAATTATTTGCTTTGTCAGTTGAAGACCACCTATCTTTGTATTAACGCTACAATGGGATACGCGGTACATTGTTTATCCGCTAACATGGTCTTGAAGTTTGAGTCCCGTGAAACCAGTAAGGGGAAGAGAGACGTGAGGGTTTCCCACGGGCCTCTGTCGAAAGGGAAATCGGTAGTGCCTTCTGACCTCTGGGTCTCGTGTTGTAAGTTCTTTTGAGCTGTTTCTTCTGGCTGCCCCTGCAGACACAAGGCGACACTCCTAGGTACACAGCGATGGTTTGGACAACAGAAACCAGCTCTTCCATCATAGGAAAATCACCTCCCTCTTGTCCTTGGGGACGGTTGTTTTCGAAGACATTGGTGGGGCATCGGAACACAACGGCGGGGTTCCGTGCCTCTAGCTCCTCAGCGACGGGCATGACGATGTCACTGCACAAGGGTCCTCTCCGCTTTTCCTGA